TTGCATGCCTGAGGCCCTGAGTTCGATTCCTCAGCACCACATAAGCAAAAAGAAAAAAGCCAGAAGTGGCTCTGTAGCTCGAGTGGTAGAGCGCTAGCCTTGAGCTGAAGAGCTGAGGGACAGTGCCCATGCCCAGAGTTCAGGCCCCACGACCGGACCCAAAAAAAAAAAAAAATTTGAAACAATTCTTCAGCTTCAGGATGTTAAACACTAAAAGTACAAGTATACTTAAAAGGGGCTGGGAAGGTGGCTCAGTGGTAGAGCGCTTGCCTTGCATGCCTGAGGCCCTGGGTTCAATGCCTCAGCACCACATAAGCAAAAAGAAAAAAGCCGGAGGTGGCGCTGTGGCTCAAGTGGTAGAGCGCTAGCCTTGAGCTGAAGAGCTGAGGGACAGCGCCCAGGCCCAGAGTTCAGGCCCAGGACCGGACCCAAAAATAAAAAAAACATAAAAGTATACTTAAAAAACTTTTTTACACATTCAATAAACATTAACACTTAAAATACCATTTGATAGGTCAATAACCTTTTCAAAAACACAGAATGGGTGTTCAAGCTATAGATTAGGAGAGGTTCACAATTACTGGATCACATTGCTCTTTTAAATTTATAGATCCCCAAAGAACTCAGCTAAGACCTATGACACTGTCCACAATCTGTCAAAATCACAGTAAACATCCGGTGTTATTTACCTTGTCATCCTTCTTGCCACCTCCAGGACCGTGACCACCACTCTGACTTTGACCCTGAAACAAATCAAACGCAGATGTCAATTCTGAATATAATCCCTTCAAAAGCAGGCCTTTTTGTCCCATGATTTAAAAACATGAACACACTCTCCACTTCAGCATTCACAAAACCAAGTATTTGGTTGCTAAGGTATGTATCTTGTATGGCAGAGATACTCACAACGGATGACCTCTTTGAACCAGGAACAACTGTATCATGTAGTGGATGTAACTAAGGAAGCTGAGGTTCCAAGAGTACCTAGACCTTGAGGTTCCTTTACACTCTCACACTGAGGCTCCAGAGACTACGTTTCAAGAAACCAGAACATGAAAGCTCCTCAACTATCATTTACTCTCCATGTAGATCACACCAGAATCCAGAAGACAACGTAATCTACCTTCCATCCCTATAGCCCCGAACATGGACAAATCCTTTTTCTGTCTGAAATGTCCATCTTAATACGCCAAGAACTTAGTGTATTTAAAAAAAAACCAACTCAGTGGGATTTCTGATTTTAACAGACCCCCTCATTTATAGTACAATACCTAACAGAGCAGTGCTTCAAATGCTAGCTTTTAAACACAAATAACATGAACTTGCAGTCCCCTCAAACTACCTTCATGTAAGTATCTCTTAAGTTAATATACTCCATTTCAGTATCAAGACAAAACCACCACATCATGGTTATCTGGAGACAATATCACATTTATTTCACCACATGAAGGATTCTTAAAACTCTGTGCTTTAGTGAAGCAGCTAATTAAAAGATTACAACGATTCTATGTAACAGTTATACTGAAATAAGCTATTCAAGTTATAGGCCTGTAACAATTACTTGTACCTCTTAAGGAAACTTGGTGATGGCTGGTCAGTTGTTTTTTTTTTTGGGGGGGGGTCAAGTCGGGGGGCCACTTCCGGCTTTTTTCTTTTTGCTTATGTGGTGCTGAGGAATCAAACCCAGGGCTTCATGCATGCAAGGCAAGCGCTCTACCACTGAGCCACCTTCCCAGCCCTGGTCAGTTGTTTTTAGGGTGCTTATTATGTTCCCAAATATGTAATAGGTATTTTTTCCTTCACTATCCTTTATTCCACACAACCCTGCAAGGTAGATTTCATTATTCCCAACCAGCCTGAGAACATAGAAACTGTGGAATTAATGAATGTAAATTTGAATTCTGCCTATGAGCTACATGGCCTTGGGTCAGAATACCTCCCTGTGTCCTCACCTGGAAAAGAGAGATGCTACTACCTCCTATCTGTTTCTGAAAATGAAGTAACTCAGGCAAACCACTTACTACTTCCATGACAGTCTATTACTGGTAAACAGGAAGGGAAAGGTCTCCATTTTAGCTGCCTGTCTGCCTACAAAATATGAGCCTTATTTTATTTTTTGTTACTATTGTTATTTTGAGACAGGGTTTTGCTATGTGGCCCAGGCTGACTTTGAACTTCACCCCTGGTCCTCTTGCCTCAGTCTCCCATGAGCTGTAATTACAGAAACAAGTCCCTTTTTGGTGGTCAATTGGAGATAAGAGTTTCTTTGATCTGTCTGCATGGGCTGGCTTTGAACATCATTCCTCAGATCTTAGCCTCTAGAACAGTTAAGACAACAGGTGTAAACCACTAATGCCTGGCTTAAATTTAAAAAAAAAAATCATTTGTTGGTACCAGAGTTTGAAATCAGGATGGGCACTCCCTAGGCCCTGTTAGTGCTTGAGCCATGCCTCTAATTCTTTTTCTTTCCTTATTTTTCACATCGGGCTTCACTTTTCCCCCAGGCCAGCCTGGACTGCGGTCCTCCTATGAACATTCCATGTGTAGATGGAATGACAGGTGTGTGTCACTATGCTCCGCTTTCTCTTGTTTGAGATATACTTTTTCCCCTGAACTTTTTGCCTAGGTTGGCATCAAATCACAATCTTATCTCAGTAGCTAGGATTGCAGGCAAGAGCCACAACACCCAGCTTATAATGTGTGCTTTAAAGAAGTCTGAATCCTAGCCAGGTGCTGGTTGCTCATGCCTGCAATCCTAGCTACTCAGGAGGCTGAGATCTAAGGATCGCAGTTCAAAGCCAGCCCGGGCAGGAAAGTCCATAAGACTCTGATCTCCAATAAACCACCAGAAAATGGGAAGTGGCACTGTGGTAGAGTGCTCGCCTTGAGCCGAAGAGCTGAGAAGAGTGCCCAGACCCAGAGTTCAAGCCCCACAACAGACAAAAACAAAAAACAAGTCTGAATCCATTTCTGATCTGTTCTTCACTCTCTTTTGTGTATCTCCAACTTTATTCCTCCACTTTTTGCCCAGGCCATCATGACTTCCTATTTGAACTCTTGCCTCCAAGTGGAGAACTCTGACCTTCTAAAACAAACAGCTGACCCTGCCCTCTCCTCAAAAACCATCAACTGCTCCCTGCCCTTTGTGGTACCATATCCAAGCCTGGCCCCTGCCAAATCTTTCATCTACCTTTCCTCACTCTATGTGAGTCTGATCCAATGGAAGATGTGAATGGGTTCCACACTCCATTTCTGGGGCATCTTACATGTTTCTTCCTTTCAGATAATTACACCTTTTACTAAGCAATTCTGATATGCCATGCAGTGTGCCAAACATGCTCACAGTGTTATCCTATTTAATTCTTACAAACGATATGAGACTAGTACATCATCACCCTTATTGACAGGAAAGCCAACCAAGGCCCCGCAAAGTCCAGAGATTTGCACATTGTCACATTTGTCAGATGGAGCGCCAGGAATCCCACCAGGTCTACTGGATACCACAATCTAGATGTTTCTTTATGCCTCTAGAAAGCACGGGTCTGGGTCTGTCACCTACCACAACCACTTACTGTGTTCAGTTTCCTCCTTGGCAAAACGAGAATATAACAATTACTTCCAGGGACTGTAGTAAAGAAGGACGAGAGAATGCTGGAAAAGAACTCAGACGCCTTTAGGCGACCTCCGTGATTCCGGCTAAGCACAGCCTCCTGGAGGGATTCCCTGGCGTGCTGCTGATCG